ATGAATTAGAAATAAGTCTAGTTGGAAATGGAATTTTCCTGTGACAGCAGTCTTAAGAAATATTAGGATTTTCTGTCCAATTGAGGCAATTCCCAGATATGTAATAAGCCCTCAAAACAATTTTTGCCTTTTCTTCTCATCCTATAATTGCCATTGATAGAAGTAAAATATCTTTTTTATTCCAAGAATTGAAACCTTGTTAATAAGCAGTCTATGACTTTTTCATAAATGAAGGGAACACTTGTCTTGCATAATTAGGTTTGGGGAGCTGGGTGTTGCTTTGTTTTGCTTTGTTTTGAGGTTAGAAATACCAGCATCATATTCAATGACAAGTTGTTTTGTCACATTTGTTTTCTAATCCTCCTTCGGGAAACAGAACCTCTTGGAATTCAGGGGCTTAATGTGTGACATCACCATGGTTACCAGCTAGCAAGCTGAAAGGAAAGCTGCCTGTTGAACAATAGACATAACTTAGTACAGCTGCATAATTTCCTCACTAACAATTTGCTAATTTCATTACTTCTCCTCCCAAACCTGATATTTTGGTACTGAACATGACTCAGAAGAGCATTAAAGATATGGAGTCTGGTCTGAACAGGAGAGTTACACAAGTTTAAATCCCTACTCATGAGAGCCATGAGGTGGGAAAATACTGAATATTGCTATACAGTATTTCCCTATTCTGTCTTTCCAATGCAATGGATTCTCAATTTCAGAAGATGTTTGGGACTGTATTTTCAGGTGAAGTTAAGTTTCAGGCACCAACTGTTACTCATTGCTTTTGAGAGCAAATGGAGATATTCTGTAAGAAAAATTAAGTAAATCCAAGCAACAGTGAATAATGTATTTTAGATCCATCAAATCTACTACTGACTAACTTGCACTTTATAGGAAGGAAGGAAGGAAGGAAGGAAGGAAGGAAGGCCCAAACGTCTTTGATTATTAGGTGGGATTTCCAGAGAAAGCAAGTTAAGTGGTTGGTGCTGTCTTTGGGAATATTGTTTTTCTTCTCACCTAGCTTATAACCCTGGGCCAGAATCAAATAAAGGTTCTACCTCATTTCTGTATTACAAATAATCAAAATATATATGATATCAAGGAACAAGTCTAATTAGGAAGAGAAGGGCATATTTAAAAAAACAAACAATATGTTCATGGAAGCAGGTTAGTTTATTCTTATTCATAAGAAGGTCAGACCAAATTAATTGATTAAACTAGTCCACAAATTAACATGAAACCACATTAAGTTAATTTGGCCACTAACGGTTCCCTTGTGAACTGAATGTCAATGTAAGATATGTCTTTAAACGGAACTTATATTCATGTTAAGATCACAAAGAGGATAAAAAGCCCAAAACTTTGTTTAAGGCACAAAAATAGAGGGAATTCAGTATTATGTTTTGTTAATATTTGGTGTAATAGTTAAAATATCAAGCAAGAAATTGGGAGTGTGTGAGTTCTAGTCTCACCTCAGACACAAAGCCTACTGGATCAGTCATCCTCTCTCAGCCCTAGGAAGGAGGCAATAACAAATACTTTTGAGATCTTGCCAATAAAAGTGCAGGAACGAGTTCAGGTAGTTGCCAGGACTCAAGACTGACTCAAACCACAAACACAATTGTGTGTACTTTAGTACAATACATCAATGTTTCTCAACTTCAACAACTTTAAGATGTATGGACTTCAACTCCCAGAATCCAGCCAGCACTACAATACATTTAAATATATATATATAACTCTTTGAGATGAGTAGGATAATGTGCCTGTTCAGTTGTTTTCTTTTCTCTTTACCTGCCTAGCCTTGAATATACAGGTTTGATTGCTTGTATGTGGGTGGGTTTAATTAATCCCCTGTGGTAGTTTTTATAAATTATGTAATTTTAAAGTCTTGCTGATGATAAGAAAGGTTTAATATGTTCCTCTTCCATAGTTGCTGGCAGGTGATGAAATATAAAATCGTCTCCCTTATTTTTCATTAATATAGCAAAGTCTGAACATCTCACATTTTACCAGCTCTATGCTGAGTTGAATCACAAAACAATTATAAAAAAATTTCTGCTGCATTTAAGACATACTTGGGATATGTGCATTTGATGCTTGAAGGAAGGTCTGTGAAAGAGAGAACCAGTTAGGTGTTCCTGGGATAACTATCAGATTGATTTGGTGATGAGCATGTTAATTCCGTTATAATTGATGGATTGTTAACCAAATTAAAGTTCCATTTTTACAATGTTACATAGAAGTTTTCCCTTCTTTATCCACAGTTTTCTTCCTACTGTAAAATATTTTGTGTGTGTGTCTCCCAAGAGAAAGATGGAATGTTTTTTTCTGGCCCTGCATGAGCATAACACAATGCATTTTCAACACTTTTTAATTTATTTTAAGAAAATAAAAGAATGTACAAAAATGGCAGTTTGGGTGCAGAAAATATACAAAGTGATTCTAAATTTTTCAATAAATTTGTATTTGTAATTTATAAACATTTTAAAAGTATTTGTAAACAGCAATGGATCATGCCCAGTATTTCCTAGCCGAACCACAGAAAACTACAATGATCTAATACATATCGATTTTACAGAAGACAATGTTGAAAAAGCACTATGCATTCTAAAACCACCTCTATCTATTGGACCGGACGGAATATGTGCCTACTTCTTTAAAAAGCTATCCACTGCCATAGCAGAACCTCTAAGCATAATCTTTGAAAAATCTTTCAGGATCAGCTCCTTGCCTAGCCTATGGTCACAAGCCACGGTCATCCCCATCTTCAAAAAGGGAGACCCCAGCCTAGTTGAAAATAACAGACTAATCTCCTTATGCTGCATCACCTGCAAAGTCATGGAATCAATTATTAACCAATCCATTATCCTCCACTTAGAGACAAACAACCTACTTTCCAATAAACAATTTGGTTTCAGAAAAATCTATCCTGTAATCTGCAACTCTTGCACTGCAAAAAACATATGGACTACACAACTCGATCAGGGCAAATCAATAGACGCAATCTACATAGACTTCTGTAAAGCCTTTGATTCAGTGGTACACGACAAACTACTCCTAAAACTAAAATCTTATGGTATCTCTGGACACCGGTCAATGTCTGGAGTACTCTGGTTGACTCTGTGGTTTATTCCCCAAACCCCAAAAACTTTCACCTTAGACTGTCTATTATTGACCTCACCCCTTTCCTAAGAGGTCTGTAGGGGGCGTACATAAGTGCACCAATGTGCCTACTGTCCCTGTCCTATTTCTTTTATTTTTCTTATATGTACCCATTTCATGTATTCATAACTATGTATATAGTTATACCTATTATCTTGTAAGAGATTGACAAAGCAAAATAAATAAATAAAATACAATAAAATAAAAATAAAAATAAATGATCATTTGCAGATCTCATTCATTGAAAAATTGCTAACCTACCAGGTTACTGAATTTAAATAAGCTATTTAACTTCAATTTTTGAGGGCTTTTTAAATGAGGCTCGAAAAGTTGAGCAGTCAATGAGGCTTAATTGGTCACATTTTGAATCAGACAAGATATTGCATAAATGAACACTCAATAGGATTTATTTTTTTCAAGACTGGGATGAGAAAGAAATGATAGGTTTAGCTTAGCTTATAAAAAAAGAAGTAGCTGAGAGGTCATCAGACTCTTGACTCTTATTGATTTGGTATGGCTTTCAGAACATAACTATGTAGCTATACATTTCTGTTAATAGGCTTCATCAGTGGCTTTACTCCTTAATATAAATATTTATAATAATAGTAATAATTAAATGTACATGCTGCTTGACTGCCAGTGAGTCTGGGTGGTTTACAAATTGTTAAAAATATTTAAAAACAAGGAACAATACAAAAACCATTAAAACAAGTAAGCTGCCAGGACTCCGACATGCACTCCCATTCAAATCATAAGTCTCTAGCCACATCTCTCAGAGAAAAAATAGGTTGATTTATTGGGAGTTGACATGTCGGTGTTTCCCAGTTGCAGCCAACTTTGACACATCATTCATTTCACCCTTGGCCCTGGTCTTCCCCCACCCCCTGGATGTATATTTCCAATGAGACACCTCCATAGCCAAGAGTCATCAATCATGCTATCAGCCCTCCTTGGAAAGGTGAGAACTCTTCTAATAAACTACATTACTCATGTTCAAGAAGATAATAGTTTATTGTAATACGTTCCCTCCAAACAGGCAACAATGGTAATCCCGTGTAAAGCCAGCGCTGAGAGCAACTGCCTCTCAGCGCCTCTTATTTGCATATCCCTCCCCTCCTAACTAACCTAACATCTGTCTGCTATCTTAATCCCTCACGTCTCCACCCCACATTACTAATCGCAACTGCATCTAAACTTCTTTCACGCACACAATCCAACATCATCAACAGCTCTTCCCACCCCTCCTCCCAAATCTGTGTCTGTTTTCAACACAAAGTGTTGCCAAAAAGCCATCTTGGAGCTTAGATCATAGCTGTCAGGCAGCTCCTGCCCCAGCCAGGTCTCCGCTGCGCCAGGCAGTTGAATGTGTCGGGCTTCATAATGGGTGGATGATCGGCAGGATCATTGAAGCCTGACACATGCTCTCCAGTAATAATTTTGTGCACCAAAAACTTCAGTTGCCAAAGCGATTATTTGAAGCCTTTAAGGAATGCACTGCTTTCCCCCCTTCCCTTCCTGCTGACAACTAAAAAGACCAAAGAAGTATTTTTAGTTGACATAAGCAGTGGAACAAAGCAGGGAGAATAAACCCAGCTGGAAACAGAAAAGTAAGAAAAGGAGTGTCAGTCATTCTTGCCAAAGGCCCAGGTAAAAAGCCATGTCTTCAGAGCATTTGAAAATGCCAGTGGAGTGAGGGTCATTTCAATTTCAGGGGAAAGTCATTAATGATAAACAAATGAATAAATAAAACAACTTTATATTGATAATAAAACAGGTAGTAGTCGACTTACAACCACAATTGAGCCCAACATTTCTGTTGGTAAGTGAGACAGTTGTTAAGTGAATTTTGCCCCATTGTGAAACCTTTCTTGCCACACTTGTTAAGTGAATCACTTCAAGTTGTTAAGTTAATGACATGGCTGTTAAGTGAATCTGGCTTCCCCATTGACTTTGCTTGTCATAAGGTCACAAAGGGGAATCACATGTCTCAAGGACACCATCAGAAATGCCATGTGAATTTTGATCACGTGACTATCAGAGTGTTGCCATCATTATAAGTGTAAAAAGGGGCACAGGTCAGTTTTTCAGTGCCATTGTAACTTCAAACTGTCACTAAATGAAGTGATGTAAGTCAGTGGTGGTTTTCAAAGTGGTTTACCACCAGTTCGGTGGGCATGGCATGGTGGCTGCACTTTGCATGTGTGCACACTGAACACACGCGTGCGCCAAATGTGCATTTTGCACACGGGCAGCTTTTCTACTCACCTCCTGCAATCCTGCACTCTCCCTGTGTCCTCAACAGCTGACGTGTAGCAATCTGCTGTGCCACGCAAAGCAGCTGTGCTTCAAAAGCAGGAAATGAAGGTCAGTATGGGAGCCCAGGCAGGCAGGTGGACCAAACAGCAGATCGACAGAGCAAACCGGTTCACTCCCAAATGATCTTCAGAGCTACTGGTTCAGCTGAACTGGGCAGAACCGGTGGAATACCGATGGAATAACCGATGTAAATCAAGAGCTACCAGTAAAGTTACTGCTCTTATGTTTCATTTTTTTCTTCTCCTTCCATTGTTGCTTCAATGTGTTTTATTGTTCCTGGATTTGCTCAACTCTGAGATTGCTCAAAAGGTTGATGATCTTTTATTTATTTATTTATTTAAAAAAACTTTATTAATTTTTTATAACTTTAAAACAACAAACAATAAAAATATAAATCGTGTAACATCAATAGTTTGTGACATTCATCTTATACTAATATTTTGTGCATTATTTACAAATATACAAAGTTTGTGCAGATATAAATCTTTAACTTATCTACTGCTTATCCTTATTTTTTTACAATCCATTTGTCTATCCAACAATCTATCTCTGCTCAATCCAGCCATACCATTTTTCCCAAATCTTATAATAGTCAGTTTCCTCTTTCTCTTGTAAACTCAAAGTTAATTTGTCCATCTCGGCATGTTGATGATCTTTTAAAGCACATAATAACATTATAAACCACTCAGCCTATCGGATGCAGGCAATAAAGCAAAGCCAAGGCTGTGTTTGATCTCAACCTCAGTTGATGTAGAAAAGAAGAAAAAAACTTCACCCTTACCAAAATAAAGAGGGTGAGAGCAAAGTGATACAACATGTTTGCATTGGCAGCAGGGACATTTCTTTGCCTCTCGAAGGAAACTGAATACATGCCACCACTCATGTTTTGCACTGAAAATGTAGTTACCCAAAAAAGAAAGACCTCAATTTTTTTAAAATCAACTTTAATGACTTCTACCAAAATTCATTCAGCAGGAAATACTTCTCATAAAAATGAAAACGGTGAAGGAAACCTCTCTGTCCACTTTAAAAGCAGCCTCATTAATCTCATGTTCATGGTGTTTGAATAGAATAGAACGTACCAGAATGGAACAAAACAGAACCGAACAGAATAACAGAATTGGAAGGAACCTTGGAAATCTTCTAGCCCAACCCCCTGCTCAGGCAGGAAACTCTATTCATTTCAGACAAACCATTGCCCAATCTCTTTTTAAAAACTTGCTGGAGCATTCACAATCTCTGGAGGCAAGTTGTTCCACTGATTAATTGTTCTGTCAGGAAATTTCTCCTTAGTTCTAGGTTCCTTCTCTCCTTGATTAGTTTCCAACTGTTGTTTCTTGTACAGGTTTGGAGAATAGCTTGACTCCGTCTTCTTTGTGGCAACCCCTGAGATACTGGAACACTGCTATCATGTCACTCTTAGTCTTTCTTTTCATTAAACTAGACATTCCCAATTTCAACAACTGTTCTTTATATATTTTAGCCTCCAGTCCCCGAAGCTAGTCTGTTGCTCTTCTCTGCACTCATTCTAGAGTCTCAACATCTTTTTTACATTATGGCAACCAAAACTAGATGCAGTATTCCAAGTGTGGCCTTACCAAGGCATTATAGCACGTCACGTAATCTTGATTCTATCTGTCTGTTAATGAAGCCTAGATCTGTGTTTGCTTTTTTGGCTGCTGCCGCACTGCTGGCTCATATTTAAGTGATTGTCCATTAGGAGTCCAAGATCCCTCTCACAGTTACTTCTATTGAGCCAGGTATCATCTATACCAGGAGTGTCAAACTAGTGGCCCATGGGATGCATCACACGCTGGCCATGCCACCCCCAGTTTACTAAAAGTCATGATACATCACATGATGACAGTCACGAGTTTGACACACACCTATGACCTATACTGTATCTATGCATTTGGTTTTTCTTGATTCAGTGTAGAACCTGACTTTTTTAACCATTGAATTCATTTTGTTAGATAGTGCCAATGTTCAGGTCTGTCAAGAACCTTCTGTATCTTAAGTCTATGTTGAAAAGTACTGGGTCTAAAACAGAGCCCTGGGGCATTAGAAATGGTTGGAAATTATGATTGAGCTAGCAAACTAAGAGTGAGTGCTCTTTATGACACTTTGGGTTCCTGAATATAAATCTAGTAATTACTAAACAACCCATGGCCTGTTGCACCATAGTCTCCTTGTGAGAAATTGGCAGGGAAAATCAAAAGTTTTCCTTCCTTCCTTCTTTCTACATTCCACTGCTTAGCCCATTGGAGGTATCTCAATTCAAAAATTGTTGCTCTGTGATACATCATTTCACCCAGCTAATGGTAATGAAAATAAGAATTTTAGTTGTAGATAAATATAAAATAAAAACCTTCTATGCTTTTATCCTGATTCTTCAAACTGCCAAATTATTTGCGGAGGAGGGGGGACACACAGAAAACTTGCTGCTAGATAAGTTCCATGATTCCAACAGTGGTGAGATAGGCAGTGATGTAAGTCAGATCAAATAAATAAATATTTTATGTTTTGGGGATGGATAGAATGTGACTTCATATCAAAGCTTTCATAGCATAAGTGTTATGTCCCTGGAACTTGAAGAAGTTCCCTCTCAGGTCCGTTCGCGCTGCGGGGGCGGTTGCCCTCTCTCTCATTGGTTGGTTCTCCCCAGCAGCCAGCTATAAAAGCAGGCTGCGGGGTCCAACCAGTTGCTGATCGCTGCGAGCCAGTTCCAGGCTTGGCAAGCACGTTCAGTCCTTTATTATTCTAATAAAGTATTGTTGCATCCATGCCCTGGTTCAGCCTCTCATTGCCCAAACATAACACTGGTGACGAAGGTGGGATGGCTACCAGAGGCACAATGCAACCGCTGAATCACTAGCCGCCGATCCGTAGCCAGAGAGAATGATCGGCAGGCGATAAGAGCAAACGCTGATCCGCAGCCAGAGAGAGCAGTCAGCAAGCAACGAGAGCGAACGCTGATCCGCAGCCAGAGAAAGCGGTCAGCAAGCAATGAAAGTGAGAAGCGTCTGTAGCCGCTTGTTAGCCAAGCTACAGGGAAAGTGAAGCGCTGCGAGCCGCAGCTGCTCATTTCTTTAGGCGCAAAATTCAAACGGCTGTCATTTGAATTTTTGCCCTAAAAGTACAGCGCGGTGCTGTATTACAAGTCACTGACGCCCACGCAGGCGCGAATTTCAAAACGCTGCCAACGACCGTTGCAGCCTAACCTCGTGTTACCCAGAGAGAGAGAGAGAGCTGTGAAAAGCCTCTCCAGAGCTGAAGTCACTTGCCTACCACAGGCACAAAAAGAGAGAGCTGTGAAAAGCCTCTCCAGAGCTGAAGTCACTTGCCTGCCACAGGCACAAAAACCGTCCTGCTGCTGCCCCAGAGAGATTTTTTTTCAACAGACTATCCAGCCTGATTTGTTGTCATCATGAACTCCAACCCAGTTTTCCCAGCATTCAAGCCGGATGAGGAGAAGTGGGAGTCATACAAGAATCGTTTTAACCATTACATCGACGCAATCGGGTTGGCTGATGCAGGAGAGCACAGGAAAAAATCATATTTCCTGATCTACTGTGGAGCCATCGTCTTCGATACTGCCACGGCACTCGTGGCTCCACGTGAGTTAAAAAACGTTCCCTGGACAGAACTGTTAGAAATCCTCACTAACTACTATTCTCCTAGGCCCTCACAGATTGCCAGGCGGTTCACTTTCCGAATGAGGAAGCAATCAGACAAAGAGACCATCAACCAGTACATGGCTGCCCTCAGAACCGCAGCTCTCCATTGTGGGTTTGGGACCTACCTAGAGGACATGCTCCTCGACCAGCTAGTCTGCGGAGTCAAGGACCTTCACCTCCAAAGGCGCCTACTTGCTAAGAAGGACCTCAACCTCGCGCAAGCCGTCGAGGAAGCCCTGGCAGCAGAACTGGCAGCACACTCAGCCACCGAAATCCAAGGTCCTGCTTCCAAGCAAGGTGCAGTTTCAGTCCACTCCGAAGAGGTGGCCATAGAGGAGGACCCCAGCGATGCAGCCGACATCCACCGCCTCGCCCACGCCAGACACCCACAGGTAGGAGCCAAGCAGGAAAGCGTCAGTCCACCCAAGCACTTCACCCTGTGCCTATCCTGTGGTGGATCACACCTGAGGGCCACCTGCAAATTCAAGGGAGCTACGTGCAACATCTGCCACAAAAAGGGGCACATCGCTAGAGTCTGCCAGGCCGCTCACAGCTCGGCACAAAGGCACCCCTCCTTTTCACAGTCTGGACCCCAAAGGCAAGTATTGAACTGTCGCACTCACCACCATGCTAAGCACGCTTGCCATGCCATTAGTAAAATCTCTCTCTCCGTTTTGTTAGAAGGTAGACCTTGTCGCATGGAGGTTGACATGGGGTCAGCGCTCTCAATTATCTCTTGGAGCACCCTCAAGAGACTACAGCCCAGTCTATTCAGGAACCGGCTCCAGAAGTGCCAGTTTAGCCTGAAGGACTACCAGGGGAAGGACATTCCTGTAATCGGCAGAGGCAAGTTTTCTGTTAATTTTAAAACTTTCAAAGGCCACCTACCTCTAGTGGTAGTTAACGGAAACCTCCCCACACTCTTGGGGCTTGATTGGTTTCCCCATCTCGGCCTAGGGTTGACAGGAGTCCATGCTGTCTCAACCTCAGACACTGACTCCTTATTCGCTGACTACTCAGACGTATTCAGCAATGAATTGGGGTGTTATAACGGTACCCCTATATCATTCTCAGTCGACCCCCAAGCAGTCCCGATCAGGCTAAAACCTCGTAGAGTTCCATTCGCTATTTGGCCTAAATTAGATGCGGAACTGGATAAATTATTAAAACAAGGGGTCATTGAGCCAACAGATTTCGCCAAATGGGAGACGCCCATTGTCACACCCCTCAAAAAAGACGGTAGCCTGAGAATTTGCTCGGACTACAAAACCACAATTAATAAATTTTTACAAGTTAGCGCTTACCCAGTGCCCGTCATTCAGCATTTATTACACACTTTTGCATATAAATTTTATTGAATTTACAATTAAAAAAATAACATAACAACATTACATAAGAAACAGAGAGAGAAAAAGAAGAAAGAAAGAAGAGAAAGAGAGAGGAAGAAAAAAAAAAAACGCTCGGTCTTGCGACCGAAAAAGGAGAAAAAGGAGTATAAAAGAGAGAAAAAAACAAACAAACAAACAAAAAAGAAACGGAAGAAAAAAGAAAATACGTTAAAACCAGACAAATATTCTTTTTGACAGTCTACAAGATCCAATTCTCCAATTCTTCTCTTACTTTAAATATACACATCTTATCGCTATTTATGGATATTTATGCTTATTTATGCTCATTGAACAGTTTATCTCTGATATAACCAATTATACCATGCATTCCAATTATTATCAAATGCTGAAGACTCTTTATTTTTAAGAGCTATGGTTAAATTGTCCATTTCTGCGCAGTCACATATTTTCTGAATGACCAATTGATCTGTAGGTAAACGGGATGATTTCCAGCACTGAGCAAATGCTAATCTGGCCGCAGTTAGAATATGAATTATTATATATTTCGTCTTTTTAGGAAAATGTTTATCAGAAATCCCTAGTAGGAAGAACCCTGGTTTATATTCAATTTGATCTTTGGTTATCTCCTCCAGCCATTTTCTAATTTTTTGCCAGTATTTCTGGGCTTCTTTACAGGTCCACCACATATGAAAGTAGGTTCCCTCTATGTTTTTACATTTCCAACATTTTGGACTAGAGTTTGTGTTCATTTTCGCTAACCTCGAAGGGGGTAAGTGCCATCTATATAACATTTTATACATATTTTCTTTGTACGCCGCAGATTTCGTAATCTTAATGATTCTATTCCAGATCTTTTCCCATTCTGTTAATGTAATGCTTCTTCCAATATTCCTACTCCACATTATCATGTTCCCTTTCACTATCTCTTGCTCTAATTCTACCTCCAATAAATATTTATAAAATTTAGAGATATTCTTTTTATTTGATCCTAATAAGATTTTATCTAAGTGTTGTAATTTGCTATAGATTCCAAACTCTTTGATATCTTGTTTGTATCTACTATGGATTTGTATATATAACCACTGATCAATTTTAAATCCCTGTTCCTGTAAGTCCTGTCGAGTTCTTAATTTTCCTAAAGGATCTAATAAATCTTTATATTTAGTCGTTTTTGTTATATCCAAATTGTTGGGATGAACCATTGCCTCCATTGTTGAAAGCCAAATCGGAATTTTTAAATAATGTTTTTTACATATTTTTTTCCAATTAGTTAATAGTGAATCTCTAATAAGATGTCTATGAAAGTACGCCTGTTTAGTTTTCCCCACATCCCATAGAAATGCGTGCCATCCTCTCTGAAGGTCGTGCCCTTCCAAGGCT